ATAATAATTACAAACTTACTTAATTAAGCTTAGTTCATTGCCACACAGAAATGAACCCAAAGTGGCTGGGTTGCATTTTTGACCTTTCCCTTTTTTGGGTTGCCAAAAAGGAGAATAAATCAGAATTTATTAGGAAGAATGGTGCCTTGATTCTTATGCATGCATTGGAAATTGTGGCTTAAAATAAATTCTATTTTCTTTAGCAAACCGAGAAAAAAATCTAGGATTTGTCATTGGCTTATACGTCAACTTATTAATTTAAACTAATTTATACATAACAAAAAACTAGGACACTGCTTAAAGGAAACTGAATTCTGGTTGATTCGCTCCCCTAGCTCAAAGGACTGATAAAAGAGACTTCAATGTGATGTGCACACCTTTGCATCGAGAGAAAAAGAAATAAGGGAGTTATCCCTAGTAATAGCTGGATTATAAGCACGCTCACTTGCTTCTAAGTAAGACTAACCCTGGGACAAAAGATGTTTCCTAGATAGAAAGAACTGTAGTCCTCTCACCCAAGATGAATAGTCCGGATGTGTTTCTGGATACCAACAGCAGTGCTTAGCACCTTTCCACAGTTCTTCCAAAGGCATTTAAACATTACTTTCATGGAGTTCTGAGAAATTAAACAGAGAGCACAATCGGTATACATTCATTTAACAGGCATGGATTCCAAATGAAGCTATATTCTGCTTACATTAATACTAAAGTAAATTAAAATTACTGTTGCAAGCACACGTATGTTTAAGGGGACAGGCCTACTGAACTCAGAGGGATTTACTTTTGAGTAACACACACCTGGGTGCAATTTAAATTCACAACTTAGAAACAGGACAATATTGATATTTTGATCAATCATCTTGCAAGGCTAATTTGGAATACTGAAATGAGTTCATTTTGTGTCTCATATTAGAATGACAAGTAGCAGCTGACTTTAGTACAAAACAGTAACACAAGCAGGAATTTCCTAATATCTCATCTACTAGCAATTTATCCGTAAAAACCCCAGTGCTTTTTAAACAAAGACTTTCTTTTAGAGGACTGAAACAATTGGCATATATTTTCAAAAAATGAAGATTAAATAAAGGCAAAAGTAAAACAAACAATAAATATCTGGCTTCAGATAAAAATTATATACGATGTAGTCTTACGTAAGTAAACATGGGTATTTGTTAATCGATGTTCATCTAATATCGTAATACTGATAGGGAAAACATTTAGTGTCTCTTTTTCCTACATGGGACATCCTTCCATATGACCAGAATCAGATTAAGCAAATGGTTACTTTAGTTGCCTCTGAGTCAACTTCAACTTCTGGCAACCACACAAAAAAGTTTGCCATCTTGATCTTTCTTTCACAGCAGCTCTTCCAAGGACATTCTAATAATTTCTCTGATCCCATCCATCCAGTTTATTCACTGCCTTTCCTTCTATTTTTCCTGAACCTTGCCAGGCATAACCCTTTCTTTTTATGTGTCCACAAACAAATAAGCTACAGCTTACTAGGTAGAAAATGAATTTGTGTTCAAAACATTTTGTCCTGTCTTCCTCCTTTAACACACTTGGCTTTGATGAGATCCAAACAATGAAGCTACAATTTAAATAAGCCAGACAATTTGGCCAGCATGGGAAAATGTTTTTAAGAAGTTGGGATATAAACACTGAACTTGATGCAGGACAAAAGACTGTGTGAGCACATGGCTCATTCTTAGACTCAAATATGGTTAACTAGCCCAAAATTATTACTCTGGAATTGAACCAAACAAACTGCTAATTCAAAAGTCCTGCCTCTTTCCCGTTTTTTTTTTTTTAAAATATCAATATTTTGCTTAATTTTCTCTTTAAAGTTTGCATGCTCTTTTCGATCCAATGAAGATATTATCCAATTATGGATTTTTTAAATGGACCAATATGGCTATGCTTGCTTATTACAGTCCTGTGCATTTTATTCATCAGTAAGTACCACTATGCTTAATTCCACAGCAAGTATAGTGAGGACCACAGTATATTTCAAATATCTAATACCACTGAATATTAACATGTGGCCACATTTTATTTATGAAGTAAATGAAAGGAGATACCTTTTCTTATTTTTTGCAACTTAAAAAAACCACCCCTCATTTGTCAATTTTGTTTATGTCATTATTACATGTGATAGGTCCTTGGGGTGTCTGTCTGTGAACTAAGTAAGAGTTATATTGTGTGGAAGATGAGAATGGAGAAGCCATGATTGGCCTCACTGAAACATAAGCCCAGTTGTGACAACTGCGTAACATTACAGGAGAGTATCAATACATGCAGTATCAGGCTCACCTTCCTCTTCCTAGGAATGGGCTCATCAAAAAGAAGACTGCTAGTTTCAGCCTCATCAATGCCATCATCAGTTTGAGATGGTAATCGAAATGGTTTGAAGCTGTCGGCAGAGAGGGGTGGTGATGGGGTGGAGGGGTTTGACTGGTCACTTGGAGCACTCCAGCTCCAATACCCACTGCTGTTGGTACTGGAAGGCACAAATCCTCCTTCTTTCCAGGATCCATTTAAGGATTCTATAAATTAATAAGAACATTAAAAAATAAGTACAATATTGGCTAGAGCAACTATTTTTAGCAAGATAATTAGGGCAACAGAACTGAAACCATGCATTTATAAAGAGTGCTGGGACATCTAGATTATGCACAATTATCTGAAAAGAAAATTACTGTCTACTAAGATATAAGAAGCACATGTGCCATACAAAAACACACACACACACACACACACCTGGAAAGCATATGGACTTTCCAAGAATATACATGGTTCTATATTTACTGGGACTCCCAAACTACATAAACAAACTATACTTGATATAAACAAAGAAAGGCTTACTCATATTTTTCTACCATATTAGGCCCAAAGAGCCAGGAACCCAATGCTTTCTAGACAACCAATCTATCTGAGAAGCCACTAAGGCTGCAGCTGGACAGCTGACTAGGCCATTGTTCTTCTACCTCTTTGAGTCGGTGAGTGTGTTCAGAATTTTGAGGAAATGTCATGGGTTCCTCTGTAACATGACTGTTATGGGGGGAAATGTCCATGCATAAAATTGCTGCTATTGTGGGTTTATGAAAAACAATTTCACAAAAAACAACTGGCATCTTACCCCAAATGATGCTTCTATGGCTGCTTATTGAGAAACACCTCCAAAATTTTCTGCACTAGGACTAAAGTTTCACTCATGTTAGACACGAAGTTCTGTTCAGGTACTGACAATTTCTGTTCTGGATGCTATAACCTACCTTCCTTCCTTCCTTCCTTCCTTCCTTCCTTCCTTCCTTCCTTCCTT